CGTGACGGTAAACACGACATGAATTCAAATGTTGAAGTCTCATCAGTGAGTTTGGTCCATTGATTCAACGACCAGTCCATGGTTCGAGCTTCTTCAATATTGCACCGAATATGCTTACATCTGTGACAAGCAAAAAGCGCTTGGCACGATTTGTAAGGGGTGCGGTAAAAATACAACGGTTTTGATTCAAATTTCCAATCAGAAAGCAGTGGATTCTTTTCGCTTTACAATCTTGATGCATCAAAAAAATTCTTTAGCAAACAAACCTGCAGCAGCTTCAGCATCGATCGGTCATTTGACTTAATTGCCGTGTCCCAAGGAGTCAAACCGCGTTCGTTGACAACTTCCAAATCCCCACCGGAACCGGCATGAAGCAGCATTTTCACGATCGACTGATGACCGCGTTCCACTGACACGTGTAATGGGGTCATTTTAGTCTGAAATAGAAAAACTCAGAATGAAAAAAAAAACGAGAGGTCAAATCACGCCTCGAGTCGAGGAAATAAAGCTCTTGTGCTGAAAATGTTTGTGTGATTCTATGAAAATTCAACGCCTGGTGCCTCAAACTACACGATTTTCTTCATCAGATATACATCGAATGAATTACTGTGATCTGCAGATTAATTCTGTACATTCAAACGAAGGTTAATTGAAGCATACCACGCGTCAGGTGTTTGATTTCGATATTTCAAGCAACTAAGTCAAACACGGAATTGAGAAGTGTTGTACCAGTAAGATTATATGTGTCACAATCGTGATATGTCACATGAGTTGGTCAACGAGGTTTAATTAACTTACCTCAAACGAAACTAAATCCTTGAACACAGTAATGCCGAAAATAAATCAAGATCATGATCCAAACGCCAAATTGATGCAATACTTCGTTCTCCAAAGTTTGAATTCGCTTCCTAAAATGTGACAAATTTCTTAGCGCCTGGTTTTCACCGTTTCACCCAAGTTAGATTTGATAAAAATTCAAATGTTGAAGACTCATCAGTGAGTTTGGTCCATTGATTCAACGACCACTCCATGGTTCGAGCTTCTTCAATATTGCACCGAATATGCTTACATCTATACCAAGCATGAAGCGCTCGGTAAGATTTGTAAGGGGTGCGATAAAACTAGACGAACTTGAAGATTTTGATCAAATGAAAGAACATTTCTATTCGCAATATAGGATGTCCGGCAAATTTAAAGTGAATTTTGCTTAGTGCATCGTATGTCGTGCCAAGCCTTGTAGTTTGCTACCTTCGAAAATGGCTTGTCATCATTTCGCTGTTAAATTTCTTTACCTGAATGGTCCAGTAAGAATCGACAGAATACCCGGCGTTTGTTCAATTTAAAGTGGGGTACTTCATACTTCGTTTTCTCAGAAATAATTGAAACAAAACTGACACAGAACTTACATTATCACAATTTGAAGTATTAGCACGCTTTCTCAGCAGAAGTTCGACGATTCCTCGCTGACCTTCGGCAGCGGCAACGTGAAGAGGTGTCTCCCCGAACTCATTTCGAGCGTTCAGATCACAGCCGAAATTCAACAACAAATTGACTAAATCCTCGCGGCCGTTCCGGCAAACCACGAAAAAAGCCTCGCGGCCAATCTGTAATCATACAAGAGAAGTCTCTTCATAACACACTCAGGAGTCTGGAAATGAAAATTATCGTATCTGCGCGATTACAGGCCAGACCCTGGTTTTCTCCAGAAGAAATAAAACTGCAGACCTAAGGAACATTTGTAACTTTTCATAACAGTGAAGAGCAACTAATTTGCGCTGCGTCATTATCTCGTGGCAGGACTATTTCTTTACACCATAATTTACATTAACTCAATCGACATTATATACAGCATAATGCGAGAAGTCAAGAAAAATTTCGAGGTAACTCAGTGTGTACAAATAATTAGACCATTTATTCCCCGAAAATCGAATTTAGCAGTTTCATTTGTCAAAAATTGTTCATCCTTGACCAATTTTCGAATTCTTCAAAATCGAACATAAGTACTGTACAGTACTGTAAGTTACATAAGTACTGTACAGTACTTATGGAAATATCCCACAATATTTTGACCAATACAATTAAAAAGTAAAATAGACCCGAGTGTCATTCCAGTCGAAAAAATACCACTTTAACGTTCGGCTAACCCCTCTCAAAGCTACTGTACTTTTCAGTCATTGAGGCCTACCTTAGAATATCCGCCGCACTCGAGTTTTCAGGACGTTTAGGGGATAAACAAACGTGGCCTATATAGCATAAAACAGTAGTGAAAAATACATACGGGCCCGATACTGGACGTCCTTCCTCTATGCAATGCATCCCTCACCTCTACCAATGACCCCGATTCCACGAGAGCCAGGAAATTCCTTTCGCTGTCAACTCGCTTTCTCTACACAGTAACACAAAATAACGTTCAAATTCGAGAAAAGAAACTTCCAAGATGAAAAGAAAACTCACTTGTTTCGCTGAGATCTTCCTTCTCACACTGGAATGAAGGTCCTGGTCAACATCCTCGGGGAAGGAATCTTTGTCGCGGGGAAATCCGCTACTTTTCTCTTGAGCATCACTGCCATCAACGGAAACGACCTGAGAACGCTTTCCTAATCTAAAATTATGAAGCGAAGATTTCGCCATCTCCTACACGAAAAAAAAAGCAGCACTCGTCTTCATTACGAAACGCGGAAAGTTCGATGCAGAATCTTGAGCTGAATAATGACTCGGCCAATAACGAAATACATGTGTTAAAAATTCGAGGACAAATTCTGTCGCTATTCTCACCACAGGGGTTTTGTAACCTGCAAATTTTGAGGCGAATTCGGAAGTTGCGAATTGCAGAATATCATACCTGGGGAAATTGAGGAATTGAATTGAGTAAAGGCGTGAACAAAAAGTCAGTTTTTCACGATGAATTACGATATCGTTTCTCACCAGACAACACGTTAAATAGCTTTATCCGCACTTCCGGGCTTATTGGAGTACGACCTATTTTTTCTTACAGGCATCATTAAATTTTGGTAGGAACCAAAGTTAACATTAAAATTTCCATATTTCCGGGGAAGCATATACACAGAAGAGGCCTCAAGAGATGTAAAATTTCGGCCCTATTTTTGCAGATGCGATTGAAATTTAAGGTTCATTAAATTTTTCAAGTTGGGCCACATGTTCGTCGACAGGCTGTGCCATTATTTCACACGAGAGGAAGAGAATCACACGGACAATTTCCAGCTGGACTTCTCTCATTTCATCCCTTCGCGCAAATTAGTCGACGAGCGAGGAAAATGAGCGTGTGTAGACTCAAATTTTAAAATGGAAAAAGATCAGTGCGTGTTCCCTCACGCATTGCGTGCAGATAGAGGAGGCATTATTACATTTTTAGATCAATACCTCCGCAATCTATTTTTTTCCACAGGGAACAAACAAATTAAACACATAAGGGGTCAAGGCTACTAGTCGTCTTCGTCCATGCCTCCCCTGCCANAACAAATTAAACACATAAGGGGTCAAGGCTACTAGTCGTCTTCGTCCATGCCTCCCCTGCCAGGTCCTTGCTTCGGGCCGCCAGCTGGTTTGGACATGATAATCTCGTCGACTTTCAGGACGGTATTGGCGGCTTGAACCGCGTACTTCATGCCCCATTGCTTGGTGAGCAGCGGATCAAGGATTCCGGCTTCAACTGCGTCCAACAGTGGCGAGTCGCTTTCCCCCTGAAACAAAAGAAAAAGTTACTTCCTGCAACATACTGACGAAAACTTCAAAGTTCAAATGATCATCTATTCCAGTGTGGCGTACTACAGTATATCGAAGAAACGGGTCAACCAATAAATGCAAGGCTTTACTGAATGACTCATTAGCTCCACTCTACGAGAAAGTTAAACTGATTGATAATGCAAAGCTAACACTATACGTATGGTATGGATAATCCGTTTCTTCGTACATTATAGAATAAATGACTGAATATATACGAGGTTTGTCCGTCTTGAACGCTGTTTCTCGAGTAGGTATACCTGTAAAGAAATGTATGATGCAGAACAATGTCCTAAGGTTCTGGGAATTTTTTCGAATTAAAATTTGTTTCAATTTACTGCATGAGTGAAAATATTTCAGTTACAGCCAGAGTTTTCCACCCATGTCACAGAGGGTTTAAAATGTTTCAATCCAGCAAAAAAAAAAGTTGATTTTTAAATGTTTTAACCATGATCCCACATCTTGTGGGATTAAAACTTTTTTTATTTTGTTCACAAGAAATTAAAAACGCAACACACGTTGAGACTTTTTCAACATCAAATCTTCAGTTGCAATTTTCGATTTTTCTTGAAAATATCATCCTACACCTCATTTCTGCGTTTGACACTTTCTTATTACTTCAAGGTTTTAGAAAAAAAACCTCCGTTTTCGTGCAGCACATCATTCGAAAAGAAAATCAGTGGCACCCCCCGAGTTCATCGGGCACAACAAAAAATCCTACTGATTTACAGTATAAAATCCTCATTCTGAAGTAGATATGTCGAATACTCATCAGAAAGTTTGGTCCACTGGAAGGACCAATCTATGGTTCGAGCTCCTTTCATATAGCACCAACAGACGAAAGTATCCTTTTCAAAGTTATTAAAAAAAACTTGAAAGGATTTTCAAGGGTGCATGAATAAAGGAATGCGATGCTTTCGACAGAGATAAAACTTGGTACAAGAGCGGGAACAACTGAAATACCCCTGGCTACGACAGTGGCACACGTCCGGTATTGCATTAGTTTCTTTCTGTTGATTTCAAGAAACACATGAATCACGTGAACACAATAATACAAAAAAACTAAAAAATTTCTCATCAGATTTAAATAAAACTGAAATCATCAACCACATTCTACTTTTGAGAAGCTGATTTGTATCCACTTTTCTTCTGATTTAATATCTTCATACCAAATCTACATCACAATACTGTAGTTTACCATTATGACGAATAAAATTAAAAATTAAAACAATTGATGGATGCAACTGAATAACTCCGTAATCTAAGTTGAAAGGTTATTCTAAATTTAAAAACAACAGGAAGAAGATGTCCCAATTGTTTATCTCATGATCAATTTTCTCGTACAACCAACAATCACTGCACCCAAATGCTGGAGTTTTTGGACCCATTAGCACGCAAAAAAGAGATCAATTGGAACTCACCAAGACGTTAAGACCGGATGCGGCCTTTCCTTCGCCGTGACTTGCTATCAGAGCAGCAATGGCTTTCGTCACGCCTAAGCCAGAATTGGCAGCCAGTGTTCTGGGGAATGCCTCCAATGA